CTCCCACAGACATTGTGGTAGTTTCTTTCTTTTATAGCTTCTTTCTTCCACAGCGCTGTGTACCAGTCCCACTCCTGACACCAGTTGTGACAAAGTTGCTCCTCAACCTTGGTGGTTCCCACGCTTTCAGGCAGATATTTGCCTCTGAGACTCATAGCAACTCTCAATTTAGACATCAGCCTGGTGTTTGTTGACTAACTCTCCCACAGACATTGTGGTAGTTTCTTTCTTTTATAGCTTCTTTCTTCCACAGCGCTGTGTACCAGTCCCACTCCTGACACCAGTTGTGACAAAGTTGCTCCTCAACCTTGGTGGTTCCCACGCTTTCAGGCAGATATTTGCCTCTGAGACTCATAGCAACTCTCAATTTAGACATCAGCCTGGTGTTTGTTGACTAACTCTCATCATTGCCCAGCATGAAGAAAAGAGGGGAAACCAATCATTATAGTCTCTATGGCCCCTCCAAGTGGTACTGGGCAAAACATACCCCTGTACCAAAGCTAGTCTTTTCCCCATGAATAAATGGGGAGTTGAGGGGGGGCAACCCAGGGCCATTTTCCATTCTGGGTTCCTGTGATAGCAGTTGTCTGTAACGTCTCTGGTATCAGCTACATGTCAACTATGAATCAATGGGCCACTTCCCCATGGTCTTCCTCAGCACCTTCCTGACCCTGTCACAGCAGATAATGGCAAGGCTGCTAAGGCTTCACTCCTAATCCCAGCCTTGGCCCTAGCTGTGGCTCTCTTCTCAGCCCTAGACTTGCCCCCAACTATGGCCATAGCCTTAGTCTCCTTATCCTTGTCTGTGTACCCTTCTTCTGCCCCCAAGCCATGGCCTCAGGTAAGTGGGCAAGAACAGGGTAAGGAGGAGGGTCAACTGTGATATGTTTGGTGACCATTGTTTATGTGGTGATCATAGGTTTTCATACAAAGAGCACAACCCTGCACTTACGTATGGTCTCTTCCCGAGTCATGTGCTTAACTCAAGAGCTCCAGATTGTCCCCAGTAATCATGCTTGCACCTATCCCCCATGTGGGTGTCTTTGCAGAAGGCGCATCGTTCCATGGGAATGAGCAAGCAGTTGACATTCAAAATCTCAGAATGCAATTTTGATAGCTTTTCCTAACAGTTCTTCAAGGAAGTATGACACACTTTACAGGGCAAGGCAACTATGTGAAATTCAATAAAACAGACAGATTTTGAGCAAGTTTAGATGTGTTCAACACAATATAAAGTAAAGTTTATAATCTGTTTCCCCTCCAATGGGAGTGGTGAGAGAGAGAGAGAGAGAGAGAGAGAGAGAGAATATGATGTAATTATCCCCCCAAATAGCATTATAAATCCAGGAAATTCAGAGTTAAGATTAAATTGAAAAGAAACGCTAAACATTTAAACTACGCAAATGCTATGGTAGGGCACTCAAACAACCTTAACTCTACACAGTTAGTTACTTCCGCAAAACCTATCAGTGAGTTAAAAAAAGGCTAGCAACAATTTGTATGTTACTAATAACTGACTAATGCCTTATCCATACTAAACAACAGATCACTGCGGCTGCAATCGATCTTCCAGAGTTCAATTTAGCAAGTCTAGTTAAGACTTGGCCTGCTCTACACTAGGACTTAACATAAAATTTAGCTGCATCTGGTTGGTTTTCTAAACAATGCGTCCATACTACCAAGCCTGTTGTGTCGACATTTAGGGCTGCTGAAGTTTGTTAGTTACTCCTGATTTCACGAGGAGTAACCCTATTCCCAACCTTGCATGGTTGAGTTTATGGTAGTGTAGATACAGCATTGACAAGAAGTCAAAGCTATTGGCCTCTTCAAGACACCTCATAGTGCCCTACTCTGAACACTTTGGCCAGAACTTGTGCCTCTGCTGCCCTCCAGGTAAAGAGGAAAAGCCCTGGGAAAAATTGAATTTCATTTCCCGCATGACCAGCATTGTGAGCACATCTCAGAACGAGCAGTACACTGCAGCACACATGGCCACGACATCTAACAGTTCAAACACTTCCATGATTTCTAATATTTCTTGTCCCGTGGGCTCCAATTCCCAGGGGTACAGAAGAGCGCCAGCGTGGAGAGTCTGGGAGGTCTTGGACCTCATTGAGGTGTGGGGAGAGGAATCCATTCTCTCTGACCTCCGACAAGCAAACAAAACAGACATTTACGTGAAGATCACAAGCTGCCTGGTGGAAAAGGATATTTCAGGGATGCCCAGCAGTACAGACTGAAAATCAAGGAACTGAAGCAGTCCTACCACAAAGTGAAGAAAGCTAATAGATGGTCTGGTGCAGCACCACACCAATACCAGTA